TTACACATGTATATGTTGCCATTTTCTTCTTAAAGTACAAGCTGTAAAAAAAGAACATTTAAAAAATTTAAAAAAGGAGTTGAGGTTTTTACTACCTCAGTATATTTCTAAACGTCACTTAAACTAAAATGCCAGATGTACTTGAAAATGTAAGTATATTTTGTTCAACTAACCAGTTCAGTCGGAGTCGTTGAGGCAACATAGAGTTCCACCTTCACTCAGATGTGGATCAGAATCCTCTGAAAAGATGCATCAGAAACCCCCAAAACATGGGTTTGCCTCTGCAAAACACACAGGCAGCTTGGACATACATGTACACGGAACAAAAATATGAATGCCTTTGTTTTTGCTCCCATTTTTCATGAGCTGAACTCAAAGATCTGAGACTTTTTCTATGTACACAAAAGGAATATTTCTCTCAAGTATTGTTCACAAATTTGTCTAAATCTGTGTTAGTGAGCACCTCTCCTTTGCTGAGATGATCCATCCACCTCACAGGTGGCGTATCAAGATGCTGATCAGACAGCAGAAGACCAGTCAGTATCTGGTGTGACCACCATTTGCCTCACGCAGTGCAACACATCTTCACATAGAGCTGATCTGGTTGGTGGAACATTGGTCCACTCCTCTTCAAGGCCAAGTTGCTGGATATTGGCAGGAACCAGACACTGCTGTCGTATACGCCGATCCAGAGCAAACATGCTCAGTGTGAGTACGTCTGGTGAGTAAGCTGACCATGCAAGAACTGGGATGTGTTCAGTTTCCAGGACTTGTGTCCAGATCCTTGCAACTTGGGGCCGTGTATTAGGATCTCAGGATCTCGTCACCGTATCTCTGTGCATTCAAACTGCCCATACCATAACCCCACCGCCACCATGGACCGCTCCATTCACAACGTTGACATCAGCAAACTGCTCAGCCACACAACTGCCCTGTACAGTGGAAACCAGGATTCAGCTATGAGGAGAACACCTCTCCAAAGGGCAAGGTGCCAGCGAATGTGAGCATTTGCCCACTCAAGTCGGTTACGACGACGAACTGCAGTCAGGTCAAGACTTCGATGAGGACAACCAGCATGCAGATGAGCTTCCTGAGACGGTTTCTGAGAGTCTGTGCAGAAGTTCTTTGGCTATGCAAACCAATTGCTGCAGCAGCTGTCCGGGTGGCAGGACTCAGACGATCTTGGAGGTGAAGATGCTGGATGTGGAGATCCTGGGCTGCTGTGGTTACACCTGGTCGGCGGTGGTGAGGCCGGTTGGATGGACTGCCAAATCCTCTGAAACGCCTTTGGAAACAGCTTATGGTAGAGAAATGAACATTCAATTCATGGTCAACAGCCGTGCAGTCAGCAGCCAGTTATACGCGCCCTCAAAACCTGGGACATCTGTGGCACTGTGCTGTGATTAAACAGCACATTTTAGAGCTGCCTTTTATTGTGACCAGCCTGAGGCACACCTGTGCAGTAATCATGATGTCTGATAGGCATCTTGATACGTCACCTGTGAGGTGGATGGGTTATCTCGGCAAAGAAGAAGTGCTCACTAACACAGGTTTAGACAAATTTGTGAACAATATTTGAGAGAAATAGTCCTTTTGTGTACATAGAAAAGTCTCAGATCTTTGAGTCCAGCTCATGAAAAATAGGAGCAAAAACAAAAGTGTTCCGTTGATTTTTTTGTGTGTTTCAGTTGTTTTCTTGTAGGACTCATGTAGATTAATCCTTTGATTTAACCGATTTAAAATATATGAACCCATAAGAAAACAGAACAAGAAGGTCGTGCGTTATTAGTAAATTTGTAGACCAGCTGTAGTACCTGGTTGTTCCGCCAGGTGGAGCCTCTCACTGTTTAATCCTTGCGAGACCAGAGGAGGCGTCACTCAGACTGCATTGTGGGAGTTTAGCAGCAAGGGACCTTGATAGAGACTTGTGTGGTGATTAATGACCTCCAATCAGCACCTACTTTCAGAATAAGAGCTCAATTTAAAGAGAAGTTAAGCAAATAGCATTCTAAGTGTTGTTTATTGTTAATGAATACATTTTATGTCAGAGTTATAAAAAATAGAAACATATGAAGTGTCAGCAAATTAGACAGTCACATTTTCATTGAACTTAACATTTCTACAAAGTGACCTGGCAGCACTAGACAGACACTTTTATTCAATAAGATGCTCACTTGGAACAATATTTATCATTACGTTATACTTAGTGACAGGGCCGGCTCAAGCCTCCAAGGGGCCTGAAGCAGAACATGAGTTTTGGGGCCCTCCACTAATGACAGTAACACTGATCAGTGATCATTCACACACCTACTATACACTTATTTCATTTTGTAATTTGTTATAACGAATACACTCAGAAAACTCGATGTGAGACTTCTTCTTGTTAGATTGTAATCCACAGTGATAAAGGTCGTTGAAGCTCAGCTTGATTGAGGAAGCAACTCCCTCCCCACACCCGGAGGTGGCAATCCACCGATTTCTGGTAGAGAACCATGGCCTTGGACTTGGAGGTACTGATCCACATTCCCGCAGCTTCGCACTCGGCTGCAAACCGCTCCAGTGCGTGCTGAAGGTCACAGTCTGATGAAGCCAACAGTACCACATCGTCTGTAAAACGCAGAGACGTGATCCTGAGGTCCCCAAACCGGACACCCTCCTCACCCTGACTGTGCCTTGAGATCCTATCCATGAAAACTACAAACAGGATCGGGGACAAGGGGCAGCCCTGGCGGAGTCCAACACCCACTGGGAACGTGTCCAACTTATTGCCAAGAATGCGGACGCAGCTCGCACTTTTGCTCGTAGCAGTGAGCCTGGTACCCCATACTCCCTCAGTGCCCCCCACAGAGTTCCTCGGGGAACACGGTCATAGGCCTTCTCCAGATCCACAAAGCACATGTGGACTGGCAGGTCAAATTCCCATGCCCTCCTCAGCAGCTCTGCAAGGGTAAAGAGCTGGTCCACTGTTCCATGACCAGGACGGAATCCGCATTGCTCCTCCTGAATCGGAGGTTTGACAATCGGCCGAAGCCTCCTTTCCACCACCCTAGAGCAAACTTTCCCAGGGAGGCTGTGAAGTGTGATACCCCGATAATTGGCACACACTCTCCGGTCCCCGTTTTTGAAAATGGGAACCACCACCCCGGTCTGCCACTCCACAAGCACTGTACCCAATGCCCACGCGACATTGAAGAGACATGTCAGCCATGACAGTCCGACAATGTCCAGATCCTTCAGCATCTCAGGGCAAATCTCGTCCACAACTGATGCTTTGCCACCGAGGAGCTTCTTAACTACCTCGGCGACCTCTACCCCGGATATGTACACAGAAGCCCCCAAGTCTTCAGGCTCTGCCCCCTCAGCAGAGGACGTTTTTACTGGGTTCAGGAGTTGCTTGAAGTGCTCCTTCCACTGCTCGACAAGATCCCCAGTCTGGGTCAGCAGTTCCCCTTCCCCGACTGTACACAGCCTGGGCAAATCCCTGCCTCCCCTTTCTGAGGCGTCGGACAGTTTGCCAGAACTTCTTCAAGGCCACCGAAAGTCCTTCTCCATAGCCTCCCCAAACTCCTCCCACACCCGAGCTTTAGCTTCCACTAACTCAGGCTCCTTCCCCGCCAGTGAGGTGACATTCCATGTTTCCAGAGCTAGTCTACGCCACCAGGGGGCGGTATGTCAGGACACCCGCTCCTGCCTACCACCCGGTGAGCATAGCACCCGACCCCAGTCCTCTGCCCTGAGGGTGGTGGGCCCTCTGGGCAGTGGCCCCATGTTACTTTTTCTGGCTGTGCCCGACTGAGCCCTACGGGGCCCTGAGGTTCGGCCACCAGACGCTCCCCGGCGAGCTGGGAGTGCCATTCATCCAAACTGCATTTCTGCTACAACCTCGACCTGGGCCACGTCCAACACGTGTGGAAGTGCGAGGACAGGTCCATCGCCGCTTGTGGCTTTAATTAAGTCATTAAGTTTGATGACATCCTCTCTAACTTCCATCAACACAGGACTAATAGTGAGCGTGTTGATTTTATATATATTCATACAGATTAACACACACAGAGCTGAAGTTTGCAACTCAGCACGTAGTTGGGTCACATTTTATTGCTATTTAAAAATATATAATTTAGAAATCAGAAAAGTAGTTGTTCTAATTTGGATGTTTGTATTTTAGAATAAATGATAAACTTCAAAAATGTCTTTGTTGTTGTAACAGAGGTGCAAATATTTGTGTTTTTATCAAACGAGCAACACTTTCATCAGGAATCAGCTCATTTCAGAAAACAATTAGATGCAATAGAATAAATCAGCCTCTACGTTTCTCAGTCGTTTAATAAATCTGTTGATTTAGTTAATTAAAAAAAGACTCTAAATATTCCTACGGGTCCAGAAAGGTGCAGAAAAAAGCCTTCGAATTGTTATAATGAACAAGAAAGTTTATTTCTACAGCAGGTGGTGAATCAAAGGGCTTCACGTATAAAAGACTAAATTAAAAATACAGCAGAATTAAACTCAATTAATTAAGCTAAATAAATCAAAAAGACAAGCTGAATAAAGTGCACACAAATTATGATGGGATTTTGATTTATTGCAGAATCCTGATGTGTATTTGTCTATTTGTTGTTGTTGTTTTTAAATGAATATTGTATTTAATAAACGAATTAAGTCTTTCAAAAATAGCAGTTAATGTGCGTTTTTACAACCATTACAACTGGAAAGGTTCTGCTGCACAGAGGTTTCTACACAATGCTGCTGTGCATCTGCATGAACATCGTCTTAATTTGTATTTTTGTGGCAGTAAATGAATTCATCAGGACACACGGAGCTGCAATGAGCTGCAGCAAAGACTCCAAATGAAGGGTTTTAATATTCAGGTCAGGAAATAAGGTTTAATTCTCATATAAAATATGTTCCACGTGAAAAACCTGGTGAAGGAAGTGAGGAAAGAAAAGAGGAAGGAGAGAATCAATAGAGGGTTTCGTGAGGAAAAGTGGTTGGACGACATTCAGAAGAAGAGATAAGGAAGGAAGGAAGGAAGGAAGGAAGGAGATGGAGGAGGAGGAGGAGTAAATCAGTGCTGGAGACTCGGACGCGGAAGAAGAATCGGTCTCGGAAAAGGAAGAAGAAGCCAAACTGAAAGCGGCCCCCCTCGGGCGGACTCCACACTTGTTGATCCAGCTCCTGGTCCGGCCTGAGAGCGGCTCACAGCTGCTCCCCAGCCGGCTTCCCGAGCCTTTCTCTCGGACCCGGAGCTGCTGGCTTCGGGCTGCACGGCTGAAAACAACATCCCTGTCGGAAACTTTATCCTGCCGCGGACGAACTCTGCATTCAGCTGTAGCAGATCGATATGTCATCATTTATTCATACGGCTTCCTAAGCGGGGAGCTCCGGGAAGCGGGCGGGCACGGCGCCCTCCGCTCCGCGCGGCGCCGCTGGGTGGCACCGCTGTCTCCGGGCGGAGGGACTCTGATCTCGGCGTGGGGAGCGACCGTACGAAGACATCGTCGAAAAATCAGATATCACCGCCTTCCCGGAGCACCAAGCCCGTGTTTTAACGAGGTGGATCCACATTCGGTCAGTTTTTGTGGGCTTTGTGTTTAGCTAGCTGAGAGGCGGGATTCTCCAGCAGCCACACCGACCTCGGCGCCCCTCCGCCGGGCAGCACCGCTGGCTCGAGCCGGAGCGATGTCTCTCCAGCGGGGCACAGCGACGCCACGTTTACCGTTAAACTAATCTCGTTTGGATCACAAAGCCGTAACCCGGTGGCCTGGCTGTTATTTCTGAACTCGGATAATTAGCTTCCGAAGCACGGGGAAACTCCGGGACGCACGCCGAGCACAGCGCACTGTTCCCGGGCTGCGCCGCTGTGGCCGGCCCGCTGGGATGCCTCTCGGCCGGGGCTGACATCGTCTGATCCGGGCTTCTCTCCAGCAGAGGTTCACCTCCTCGTGTTGTCGGAGACTTTGCGTTGGGCTGGAGATGGCCGACTCGGGTCGGCCCCGGCCGGCGGACCCTGACGCTGCGGACAGCCGGACATCGAGCCCGCTGACCGTGAAGCGGAGGGCGCAGCAGTCCCCCGGGCTCCGGCCCAAGTACCAGAGCCCCGCTCCGGGACACTGCTTCAGGAAAGTCACCCTGACCAAGCCGACCTTCTGCCACAGCTGCAGCGACTTCATCTGGGGGCTCGTGGGCTTTCTCTGCGAAGGTAACACACACACACGGACACACACAGACACACAACACAGCGCGTGTTTTATTCATCATCACTTATTCATAGAAACACTTGAACCAGAACCACCGCTGCTTCCGGCGGGAATCGAACCGACGACCTGCTGCTGGCTCGTGGACCCACAGCGTGTGGTTCTGCTGAGCTCAGTGTGTTTGTATCCATGCCGGTTGTTGTACTCTGATTGTGTTGTTGTACTCTGATTGTGTTGTTGTACTCTGAGTGGGTTGATGCATCCGGAGCGTGTTGCTGTACACGGTGTGTTGTTGTACTCTTAAGTGTGTTACTGTATCTGGAGTGTGTTGTTGTTCTCCCAGTGTGTTGTTGTATTAAGTGTGTGTTGTTATGGTACACAGTGTGTAGTTGCACTGAGCAGAGTGTGTTGTTGTATCCATGTCTGTTGTACTCAAATTGTGTGATTGTTGTAATCAGAGTGTGTTGTTGTTCTCCCAGTGTGTTGTCGTATTAAGTGTGTGTCATGTTGTGTGTTGTTGTTGTTCTCTAAGTAGGTTTGTGTATCTGGAGTGTGTTGTAGCATCCAGTGTGTGGCTGTTCTCCCAGTGTGTTGTTGTATTGTGTTGTTGTTGTTATACATGTGTTGTTGTTGTTGTTGTTGTACTCAGGGTGTAGTTGCACTGAGCACAGTGTGCTGTTGCATCCAGTGTGTTGTTGTTCTCCCAGTGTGTTGTCGTATTAAGTGTGTGTCATGTTGTGTGTTGTTGTTGTTGTCAGAATGTGTTGTCGTATCCTTTCGTCGTCGTGAGTTCAACAGGTGAGGCTGAACAGAGCGTCCATCACACAAACACACACTTCAGTCTGCACACCGACACACTGGTCCTCCTCCTGTGTGTGTGTGTGTGTGTGTGTGTGTGTTTGAGGTGTTTGTTGTACAGTTGGAGCTCCAGTCAAGTCATGATTAACTGCCCCTGGTTGGCATGGCAACAGGAGACTGGCAGGGATCCTCAGTGCTGGAGGAACAAGTGTGTGTGTGTGTGTGTCAGCGTGTGTCAGTGTGTGTCTGTGTGTGTCAGTGTGTGTCTGTGTGTGTCAGTGTGTGTCTGTGGTTGTGTGTCTGTGTGTGTGTCAGTGTGTCTGTGGTTGTGTCAGTGTGTCTGTGGTTGTGTCAGCGTGTGTCTGTGTGTGTGTGTCAGTGTGTGTCTGTGTGTGTGTGTCAGTGTGTGTCTGTGTGTGTGTGTCTGTGTGTGTGTGTCTGTGTGTGTGTGTGTCAGCGTGTGTCTGTGTGTGTCTGTGTGTGTCTGTGGTTGTGTGTCTGTGTGTCAGTGTGTGTCTGTGTGTGTGTCAATGTGTGTCTGTGTGTGTGTCAGTGTGTGTCTGTGTGTGTGTGTGTCTGTGGTTGTGTGACAGCAGCAGAGACGTGAGCATCCTCTTCAGCCGACCTGCAGCAGCTTCATGTGATTACGTAACGCGTCTTCTTTAAGCCGTCACTGGGATTAACAGGAACCTGTGATGTCATCAGCGGGCTTCGTCCGCCGCCGTGATGTAAAAACACACGTTAGTCTTTTAACGACATCTGCTGGGTTTCAGCTGCTGTTCAAGAGTCTTCAGGCTTCGTTTTGATCCAGCAGCTTTAGACACGAGTCCGAAATTAAAGTAGTCGCTGCAGGACCCTGGAGGAGTTCTGATGTGCTCTCCACTGATGGAGACCAAACACTGTCAGGTTATCATATCTCCAGGGAGCCTGGACCGTGCCATCAGCGGGCAAGTTAAGCTCTAGATCATTTAGAGCAGGGGTCTCAAACTCAACTGGAGATAGAGTCTGGGTGAGCTTCTCAATCTTCTCAGTCTTTATTAATGACAACTCTGAACATGAAAGGTTCTTCAGAACATCTCCTCCCTACTCACACTTCCTCCTACACAGCTGAGTCACATGTGGCTTGAGGGAGGAAGCAACTGAGAGCCTCAGTGTGGCTTGAAGATGCTCATCAGTAAGTCTGGACCTGTTCTTTGACTTATTAAAGTTCATGGTGGAGAAGCGCTTCACACAGATGGAAAATAAACATGCATTTGCTCTGGGTGACAGGATGTATGTTCCCTCCACTCGGTGACACTCCCGAATCACGTTTCAAGTGACTAGCGTTGTCGCGTTGCTGTCACGAGCCTGAGCTACGGTAGCCCACAGTGAAAAAAACTATAAAACACCCAGGGCAGCGACTGGCGTAGACAAACACACTGACACTAAACTTTGATGTCAAGTAGGGGCCCACAAAATATCATCCGCAAGTCTGAGAGCTTCAAACACAGTCAGGTTGTAAAATCCCCAGGAAGCCGGCGTATCGCAGCTGAACTGAGCAACACGATGGAACCAACAAACCAAATGACATCCTTCACCTGCATTCATTGAAATACAGAACACGACGAAGGCAGCTTTCAGAACAGAAGCAGCTCTGAGGTGAAGAACTTTGTGGAGGTCAGAGGGTTAAAGGAGGTGTCTTTAAAGAAGTTGCTGCAGGACTTTGGAGGAGTTTCCATCGATGGAGCTCGAACAGAGTGAAGTTCTGACATCTCCAGGAAGCCCATACGCTACCAGACACAGCTCAGGGTTTCTGGAGAGTCTTCACTGGGTCCGGAGTTTTAAGTTCAATTTTAGGGGACCTTTACTTTTTCTATTTTCTAATGTGAAACTCTCCAGAATTTAGACCTTTAAACACAGCAAAGTTCTAAATTCTCCTATAAGCAGAGTTTTAGGTGTCAGACAGTTCAGATTGTTGTTGTTTATCGTGTAGATCCCTGGTGCTGTGATGCTGCTGCTGAGCAGAACACAGAACCCATCAGTCTGATGGTGTTTGTCACAGACAATATTCAAGAACAGTAAATTCACTTTGCTTTTGCCAAAACCTAAAGTGATTTTCTTCATTATGGGACCGACCTAAATGTCTGTTTCACGTTGAGATGAATAAAGTTTAAAGTCTCAGAGCTCTAAACACGTCCGTAAGTCACCGAATGAGAAAATCAATCTATTAACTTCCAGTGTTAACAGTTGTCTAGCAGCAGTAGCAGCGCTTTGTACCGTATTCAGTTTTCACATCCTTCACAGCTCTCCATTATAACAACTTATTCCTCTGGTGGCACCTGATTGGTCCACATTATGCCAAAGAAAAGTCACATGACACGCCCTCTTAAGAAGAAAACCTGGTTAACGAAGAAAGTTGTGATAGCTGTTATCTCTGACTGGGGTTTTAGGTTCTGTTAAGCCAGCTAACACAAAGAAAGCCTGGATATGTTGAACCTGTTGTCTTTAATGGAGCTGAAGTGTGTGTCTGCTGCTCGTGAGGTCAGAGTGTGAAACCGGCCGGAGGTTTACCACAGCACGACAGAAACACGCCATGTCAGTCCAACAGCAAACATGTTTGACTGAAATAACCCAGAGCCGAAGAGTTTTATCTGAACTGAGCAGCTTCCTCCTTTTGTCTGGATGAGAATAAAGACTTTCTTTAAATAAGAGCATGAGAAGAAATCAAACGTTTCCCCTTTTCTACCTCTGAGTGCCACTTGAGCTCTCAGTAATATCACCATGAGTGCAGCAGTGTTCGTGGTTTGTCGTGGGAGCAGAACAACGGGGCTGGATGTGGAGGCCACCAGGGCTGATCTCAGCTCTGTTTACGCTCAGACACGTTCCTCTGGTGGAGTTCATGAAGGAACTCAAGCTTTCAGTTCCCACCTCCTGCTTCAATGCATTGTTGGAACATACAACAAATTTAACAATTTAGAGAAAACGTTTTTTTTTCTTTAAATTCACCAGAAAGGCTGTTTAATTTATTTATGTAAAATAAATAGTTCTATTTATTTAATTAGCTTTTATATAATTCTCCATACAGGCTGTTTTATTTTTAAATTTGATACCACACAGGCTATTTCATTCTATTTATTTATTTTTCACTTTTCTCTAAACATTTCCTCACACAGTCTAACAAAGCAAACCTCCAGGGTTTTATTTCCTACGCAGTAATTATGTACAGTAACTGCTACAGCTTTGGCTACTGAGTTAACGTTGCAGTCAAAGCTGTTGGACTGATTAGAGGTATCGATTATAGAGATAAATCATTCCTGTAGTGCTGATAAATTAACATCATGTCAGAGGAGCTGATTAGCAGGTGGACGAGTGATGAAGGAGAACGTGTGACCTGATGAAGCTCCATGTCGACGATGTGACCGACTGTCCTCTGCTTTGTTTCCTCTTCAGTCTGTAACTTCATGTGTCACGAGAAATGCCTGAAGACGCTTCGGACCGTTTGCTCGTGCATGAGCCCGTCTTCGATCCGGGTGAGAAGCTCTTTTATCTGATCTAAGGTCTTTTATGGGGTGTGTTTTCTGAGCAGTTAAGACGTCTTTTTATCGTGTTTAGAGGCACTTTTTCTTTTACAAATACTAAAAAATAATCAACACAACTAACAAGATGCTGCCCAGAACATCTAAAAGAATCGCTGACAACTAAGCAATTCTCCAAGAACATACATGTCACCTATAAAAACTATTCACTCCCTTTAGGAAGTTTTCTCCTTTATTGTGTTTTAACTGTTTGATTTGGCTTTTTTTTTTTTTTTTTTACAAGATTTACAGAAAAAGATGCTTTCAAGTCAAAGTGAACACAGATTTTTACAAAGTCAGTTATTTAGCAACATGAACTGAGTGATTTTATCAGTGTTCTGCCCCGACAGCAGTGATCCTGTTGGTCTCCAACAGCCTGAACATCTGGATGCTTCCTCTTTATAAAACCAATCAGACAGGTTACACAGGGATCAGGACTGAGGTCTGGGCTCTGACTGGGCCTCCAGAACATTCACCTTGTTGTCTTTATACCATTTCTATGTTGCTTTGGCTGGAAAACAAACCTTCTCCTGCAGACTGCATCAGGTTCACCTCCAGGACTTCTCTACGCTTTGCTGCATTCATTCACCCTCTGCCTTTACAAGCCTTCCAGGCTGCTGCTGAGAAGATCCCCACATGATGGTTTTTTTTCATAATGTCTCATTGCACAGCCTTGAGAAACAGCCACCTTGCATTTTACTGCATGAACTGTATGAGCGCGTGACTAATAAAAACGTTTTTTTTACATTTTATATTTTTAATTAATTTACATTACTTTGTAAAAAATCTCTTTTAACTTTGGCATGAAAGAGTCTCTGTTTTTGGTCAGTTCTTATCAAAAAAAGCCAAATTATTTTGACCCTAATTCAATGTTGACAAGCATTTGAAAAAAAAAAAGAAAGCCTTCAGTTTGTGAAGCTTCTGCTGCAGAGATTTAAATAATCAAACTCCAAAGAGACGAAGCTGAATCCGTGCTGCAGCTGCTGCCTCCGTAGGTCAGAGCTGCTGAAACACGACACACACGCCGACATGCTGTTCATTGATCGACTCTGACTAACTGCTTCACCGATCAATAAAGCAGCAATAAACACGAGCAGGTGGCAGCAGCAGCCGTCGTTCAGGACATTCAGGTGGCTGATGTTAATCAAACGTCCACCGGAGAGTCACAGAGCATCACGACGAAGGCAGGTGTGGGCATGTGTTGTCGGATGAGGAGTGTGATGCAGAGTTAGAGCTGCAGGTTCATCACTCAGCCGTGTTTCTATGAATCCTACGAGACAGACGAGTTAGCCGTCACCCTGTACGTAACCGTCATCGTACATTTAAACACAGGCTTGGTACAGACGTTTTCTGATGTAAAAGCTTCATTTGAAAAGTGAGCCGTCAGATAAATGCAATAAAAAGTGGAACACGTTGAAGCAACACCGTCTGACGCTCCAGTAGATAAACGGACAGAACATCGAGGGTTTCACAGAAGGTTTCCTTTTTTCTTTTTTTTTTTAAATGCACAAAAGTACTAATAAGATTTCAAAAATAGATTGAATTTGCACATCTACTGGAAAATAACATCAAAAACATGCAACTGTGAATAACCAACAATAGAATTTCTTTTTTTCCCAAAATAAATCTCTTTTGAAATTAAATTAAGTCCATTTGCAAACAAATATTTCATTTAATTGATGAAACTCCTTATTTCCTGTACATTTCTAAAATTAGATACAATTAGTGATAATTAACAGAAAAAGTCCATCTTATGTATCATATAAAATCGGTGTTCTTAGTTTTATAACAAATAGATAAATAAATAGATCTGTATAAAGATCAGGTGAGCAGACAGCTGCTTAGTGTTGGCTCATCTACTGTTTAATGAGTCTCTGTTGAAACCATCAGTGCCTCTATTTTATTCTAGTTATTCAAGTTTAGAAAGTGTCATTTCATTTAAATATAAATGATTCGTTCACTTTCCAGCAGCAGGAGAACAAAAAAGAAGCATCAAATACATGAAGTTGCTGCAATCAGAGAATGTCGACCTTCTCCTCTAAAAAAACATCACAAAACAGCTGGAGACTAATCCAGCGGTTGACTGAATCCAGCGGTTGACTGAATCCATCAGTCGCTGCTCGTCAGTTCAGCTGTGACTTAAATGTTTAATTCAACAGCTTTAGAGTTCAGATAAGTGACCAAAAAAACAAACAAACTAGCATTATGTGCACAGTGATAAGCACAAATACAGAAGTGTTTTTATGAGAAACACAGATAATCCAATGTTACTGCAATAAGAACAGTGAAGTGGTGGAGATGGTGAATCGTGATGCCGCAGTAACCTGTCGTCTGTAAACCAGCAGCTCTGGGCCCTCAGACACCTCCAGCTTTGGGCCCGTTGTTATAAGACCTGTTGAGTTCAGAGCATTAAGACGAATAAATAACCTCCAACAGCCACTTTGTTCTGAGAAATTCTCCAGTTTGAAGAAGTCAGGTGTGAGACTTTAAACGAACATGTGTTTGTTTAGCAGGCGGCTAAAACACAACCTGGACTAC